AACTGCAAACGGATCGGGAATTTGTTGATGGAAGCTGTTATGTATTTCCTGCGGGATTCAAATTCAACTTGAAACGTAGCAAACAGAGATTTGGATTGTATTCGTTGATTGTACTTCCGCCTTTTGATTGAGTCTTTCATCAGACTGTTATCGTTCTTTGGGTTTAATGGTGATTTGGCATTGTGGGTACGGCAAAAGCCTTCTTTATGGCCCCAACGATGGCACGCTTGGCACTGATGTTTCTTGAATGGACAAAAACGTGCATAATTCCATTCACCACGTGACCAACATGATGTTGGAGGCTTTTTTCAGGGAGTGACAGCGGTTCGCTTCAATGTCATGACGCTGCTGGAAATAAGCGATCGCGACGTTTGCTGTACCATTGCGGTATCATGTTTGAGATTGCGCAAGCGCTGGCATTCTGTAGTGAGGTCTTTCACAGTAATGTCTTTTTCGTGCTCAATTTTGGATAGGAATCGCGTGCGAATATCTGATTCCTGATGTTAGGAGGCACTCCTCCTGCGAACATATTGCTCACATTTCTCTCTCTATATTTCAGCCGGGGTGGTCCCCTCACCTTTGAGTTTTTGGAGTGCGCGTTTGAAAGTGTCCACAAATCTTTCAACTTGGCCATTTGATTGTGGATGAAAAAGCCGCTGATTATTCCACTGGATTAAACGCCGTGTTAGACTCTCACCAATATCCATTGCCAGTACCAGAAGATTTGTTCACCAAGCTCAATGGTGGAAGATGTTTCGCAAAGCTGGATCTTGCCGATGCTTACCTTCAGATAGAAGTCTCTGATGACTCCAAAGAACTTCTGACAATTAAAACATCGCGGTTTGTTTCAATTTAACCGTTTGCCATTTGGGATAAAATCTGCACCAGCAATATTTCAACAAACAATGGATGCCATGCTAAACGGTCTATCAGGAGTTGCTGCTTATTTGGATGACATCNCATTCTTGGGTTCGTGAAGGGTTCCCGTCGCCAGTGTTATGTTCTCTACTAATCAGTCAATCAACCTTGTCAGTTACACACGAAATTGAGAAGACAAACAGCCATACTGCAGCAACTGAACAGCCAATATCGAGATTCGAAGAATCAAGAATGGAATGGAACAAAACAGTCCAATGAAAGGCTGAAGTAGGGAGAGAGAAATGTTGAGCAATATGTTCGTTAGGAGTGTCTCCTAACAAAACCTCCGTTGCTCACGCCATTATGCTCCTTAAAAATCGATGATAATGTATCTGAACACGGTCCGACGAAGTTCAGTCTACTTACGGTTTACTCCTCTGGTGCTGGAGCTTAAAACACCGTTTGACTGGATCCCTGTGAATAGCCGGCCGTATGCAATTAGACTGACTGGGTCTGAAGCCAGTCCTGAAATCTGTTCGTCGTCTCCCCATCCGCCCGAAAAAAACTACAACAGGGGCGTATTCAAGGGCGATGTTTATGGACAGCTTCCGGAACTCCGGGTGATGAACAAGTACACAGACATCACTCTTTTGACTGCCGATTTTGATATCCAGTGCGAAAGAATAGGCAAGCCTGAGAGCCATCTTAACAGAAGATTTAGCGTAGGTGCTCCCAGAACCGGCAACGGTGATGGTTTCTGGCAACTGTGTTGATCACCACCTACCTGTCACGAACCCAGACTTTCACCGTAAACGTGAACACTACGTTATCTGGCGCCCTCCAGACCGTAGTGAATCAACCGGTTGTTTAGCTATAAATGGTGATCTTGTGCTCACTATTATCCCTTATTTTGGGATACGTGTGCGGAGTCAGATCATATCCTGGTTCATGCCGGTGTTACACCCCATTTACCAGCAGCTAAGAGTACTATTCATCGCTATGATATTACCGGAAATATCCGGTCTTCAAAGAAGACCGTCAGTAGCAGCTGCCTAGGCAAATTAAGAAAGTGAAACAAACCAAAATCTGAAAAGTCATGCTTTCAGTGTTCAGTCGTATGCGTCGGAAAATGAGGCCGCAGCTGAAACCAATTTGAATCTAGCAAGCATCCATATCTCTTATCTAAGCAAGGAACCAGTTGAACGACGCTTGATCCGCAATTACAAGACTGACCGGGAGAAATGGTGGCTAAGGGAAGATCAAGAAATAGAAAAGGCAGTGGCGGCTGGAAATAGTGGAGCTCCTTTCCAACTTATCTTTAACAGAGGGTCAGGAAATTTGCCGGTCATTGAAGACGACCCAAAGTTCCGGTTTACGCTTCGCTTCGTTGGATGCAACATCTTGAAGGACAGTTCAACTGACCGGGTGTGCCTAGCTTAACATTTGACACACGAACAGCTCCACTGACGAGTGATCCGTCCGGTCCCAACGGAAGGTGAAGTCAAGAAAGTGAACTTCTGAAGCGAAGCAAACCACCCGGTCCTGACTACCTCCACCTGGCTTGTTTACGAATGAAGAAGGACTCGTTCACTGCCTGGCCAAACTCATTCAGAGCATTTGAAAGACAAGCGAAGTGCCGCAGAAATGGCAGATATCCAATGTCGTCCCTGTTTCAAAAAAGGTGTTAGATCTGGATGTGAGAATCATTGGGGCGTCAGATTAGTCGCCATTACTTCTAATTTGCTCACAAGTATCCTGCGCAGTATCACTAGCATTTGTGAGCAACAGGGTTATAAAAACCAAGTGGGGCTTCGTCCGGGTCGTGGTACATTGACCACAATGACGCCGCAAGTATGGAAGGCCAATAAATGTTATCCTCGTAAACCTAAAAGCAGCGTACAACTCAATCTTCCGTACTGCTTTGTGACGTTCTCTTCTCCAAGGGTACGCCCAACATTCTCGTCACACCTCCAGTCCTTATTCCTTAATATCTACGTCTACGGAAATTATTCTCATGAGTTAGTCAAAAGTACTGTATGTGAGAGCTGCCCTTGTCACCTTCATTCAATCCAATTAATTACCGAAGGAAAGTCCGCTGCATCTAATTCCTCTGAGGTGGAACTTTTTTTTTTACCGGAAAAAGACCTGAAAGATGAAAGGTCGAACTGTGCGGGCGACTTTGAAGTGCTTGCACCATAAATGTCAACCAACAACTTGTTGGAATAGAATGTTCAAGATGACAGCCAGGTTGGTGTTGGTATTTCGGCTTCACTGCTGTGTCCTGAAATATAGAAATAGTTTATATTTAGAGGCCTTGGTAGATGTGGTACAGGATTGAACCCAGCGGTGTTCATGTTCACGATTCTTCGTATCTAACTCCTGCCTTTGCTTTCCTCCTTTTTGCGTTCACATTCGTGTCACTCATCCGGCGCAATGATTCTTTTGGGCCAATACAGTACGCTACAGTACAATACAATACAATCGTAGTGCAACGCAACATGGTTCTCTATTTTTTGAGACGTATGCTGTAAAACCAAACGAAGTATGCTGTAGGATCCTCAAATCACAATACAATCGTAGTGCAACGCAACATGGTTCTCTATTTTTTGAGACGTATGCTGTAAAACCAAACGAAGTATGCTGTAGGAAAAACTCCTCAAATCCTTCTGGACCTGAGGGCTAGTAAACGCGGTGTATTGGAGTTTACTAAAGGAGACATTCTCAGAAGCAAGCACCTTTCAGAAACGTCCATAGGTCCGGACAAGCTGCATCTAGCTGTCTTAAATTTGATTGCGCGCATAATTTCACAACCGTTCACCCATGTGTGTGACTAGTCAATTTGGAACCGACGGATGTCAGATTAATTGTAAAGGTCTAACTCATTGATGATGATCAGATGGCCTTTTAGCCTAACCTTGCGTTCCTGGACGTGACCTTTCGGGAGAGGAAATCAGAACCATCTGACTTCGAACAATTTTCCGGTCTTTCACTGGCTCACGAGCTGGAAGTACAAAAGTACATGGATATATTATGCCATGTAGACGGAGTGATTTTGGGGCATTGGATTCTGTTCACCATAGATTTCTCATGGATAAGCTACTCCCGTGTGGGATTTAGGAATATTTGGATAAGGATACCGAGGACTTTTTAAGCCAACGGTTATCTTCACTGGTCATCAGTTAGACTTCCCCACCAAGTATGACCAGCGTAAACGATGCAGAAATGGTCTCACTTTTGACGTGGATTTTGTGAAGGGTGTCATGGTGTCGAATATAGGGCTCCCTCAAGAGCCTAAAAAAGAGAAAAACGAAAGATAAAAGATAATGAAGTCCAAAAACACGCAAAAAGAATACCGCTTACTAACCGAATATCGTTTGAGTTTCTGTCACACTCTGGCGGGACATTTCCTTCCTGGACAGAAAACGGCATTTTTGGACACACGCTGTTGGCTCCTGTATTTCTTGTTCAGTTTCTGGTTCTGGTAAGTTCCCTTGCGCTGAAGTAAATTTCAGTTACCCCCCCCAGTGTTCCTCTTCCTTGGTTTTGTGGCTGCTATGCGTTGTAGAGGTTGGACTGTATGATCCACATTTAAGTGTCCATCCCGTTTTCAGCTCTATCCTTTCCGTCTGGAGTTACCCGGAGACCTCTCGCTACGTTCGACGATGTTTCATTTGCGGAGTCTGGTGCTCTTACTGGGTGTTTTGACCACTTCCAACGCAGAACTATTCCTGCCTGTTAGTGTAGTCGGATGTGGAACGATAAAGGGTTGCCTTTTTCCTCCAATATGTACAGACTCCTACTGTGAATTCATGGCAACTTGGAAGTTGGTCACACACAATGCCGAAGATTACGTTGAATTCGAGCTTAGGGGAAAGCTGAATGATCCAGGTGGTTTTCTCAGCCTGGCATTTTCTGAAGACAAAAAAATCGTAAGTGTTCTTTTGCATCAATCAACCATTTTTCATGTATGAAAAGTGCAAGCTGTGTCTGTATTCTGAACCCATATGTAAAGATATATGGGCTGAATCCTATTCACTTCGCGCTTCAATCGCTGACAGGATTGTTGTGTATGACGAGGGTCGGAGTGCAACGACAATCAGAATGACAGTGGAAAAGACTGAGGGCCCGAAAGCTGGGCTTTATTCATCCAAACCTTTGACACTGAGGACTGAAAACGGAAGAAAGTAATTTAGCAATAAATGATGAAACGTTTGAAAAACAGAGCAAATATACAACAAGGATGAGATCTCTGTTGAAAATTACCAAATCACATCATATCACCACCAATCCGTAGTTAGCTCAGAGGAAAGAATAATTCCACGAGATGCGTGAAACTTCTCTATGAGAACTTGTTACTCCAGGAGCCAATCAATACGTGACCATATGATGTGGTTTCCATGATTGAAGGATGAGTTGTGTCCTGTCTAAGTGAGAACTAATCATACTGCCGATCAGCCAATTGTGTTCAAACAGTGAGTGGAAGTTCGCGGGCTGGAAACTCTCTGAGTTTCGTTAGGCGCGAACTGCTGATGATCCCCAACAAGGATGAAACAGCTGTACAGTGCTTCTTAGCTTTTCAGCATAGATTAGCTTCACTGATAGGATGCAGTTTCTATTGGAAGTGTAAATAGCTTTTGGTGTTTTATTTCGCTTTGCATCCGGTCGCAAGTTGAACACGTGGAATGTAGAGTTTTGTGCCTTTCTTCTGCCGGTTTGGTTCGTGTTTGTAACTTTTCTTGTTAGGTGCGAGTGACAAGTTCCGTAAACAGTTGCTCATCGCGGTCACTTAGTGCTGTGCATGTTCATGGTTTTGTTCCTAGGGAAATGGTGCGTGCACAAGACGAAGTGTGATCTGAGTTCGTACACGCACTACAAACGAAGTGACTGCTTTGAGTGCCGTATCATTGTACTCAGCGTGTCGTCACGTAAACAATCGTTATTTTCAGTTTCAGTGGCACGTAAATCTATCTATCTAAATCTGTCTATGACGAATCTATCTCCTAAAGGACATTCCTCTGGCATAGTGTCCAGAGCGCCGGCTAGATCGGTAATATCCATGCTTTTTTTATCTAATAATAGTAAGTCCATATTGCATGTATCGTACACCTGCAGGAAGTTAACGGTCGAGTGGGACTGTCAACCCTATGTTTCAATTGAAACTAAATTGCATCATAAACGAGTGATTCAGCTGGGTTCCAGGCAATTTCATCGCAAAATTAAATTTGTTTGCAAATAAGTATATTTCGCTAATTCCTTGCGATTTGGTTTCAAGTAGAACATATAAGGTTGATGGAAATTCGGGGACCACGCCTACCTGATGAGCCCAAGAAGGACGTCGTGGACTGTCGAAGAATTTTCAGCGACCTTATGAGTAGTGTATTACATCCATACATTTATCGCGATATCTCGAATAACGTAGCGACTGAAACTGAGGCGGCCTGGTGCAGGACTTTCAGTTGCTTAAGAACATCATAAACCAGAGAGTTAGTTGGTTTCTAGGTTGGGTTCCAGGTGGGTCTGTCGCAAAACCAAATTTGTTCGCAAATGAGTGTATTTCAATGATTCAAAGAATTCATGGGCAGAAAGAGTTCTGCTGTATAACCACGTCGCCCTGGTCAGTTATGATGTATTTCAGCCCGATGTTTCTTGTGAGCCGAATGCGGCTACAAACACGGTTGCCTGTTAACGCAACTAGATCTCTTCTGGAATTTGGACAACACAGTAAGAAGACGGGTATCTCCTACCGGATTGTCAGTGCCGAATTTTGAGAAAGCGGATTTTTATAGAGAATTCACAGCAGCGACGGGTCACGTGGACAGAGTTTGCTCTGTGAATGATAAGATCGTCACAAAAATTACGCTAAGTCTTGGAATTTTCTTTCGGACACACGGAGAAGGTTGTAATCAAGTGACTGATGCGGCCCCGGCACACTAGCGCACGCGAAAAAGTAGCAGGATATCAATCGCGGGGTCAACCTATTAACCTGTGCCAAAAAGATATCTGTCAGTCAATGACTGTGGCTGCTGACAACGCGACTGCTAGCTGATTTTTGACCTAGGAGCATAGTGATTCCTCAATCGCGCATGAAAACCTTTCGATTTCCGCCTATGTAACTTAATCCCAAGCTATATGTGAGCTGGGGGTTGTTCCCAATATTTTCATCTCATAACTGAAGGTAGAAGTGGTCCTTGAGTTGAGAACTGGTTTGAAACGCGGACTTCTGCTCGTGTACATCCTTTCCAGCACTAATACATAGCGTTCGGTAGTTGCAGCAGTGGTATTACTCATCTTGAAGGGAAGTTGACAAAGCCTGCATGTTCATATACCCTATTACTGATAGGAAGTATTGCCTTCCGTCTGTCGTGTCGTTCAAATGATTGTGAAGTGTGTTTGTGACAATTTCTAGCCCATCTGATGTACTGCCTAGTGCGCAGATACAAAGAAAAAGGGAAACCAAGTTCGAAAACCGAGTATACTTTCATCTTAATATACTGTTAAACTATGGCTGAGTTGTTGAGAAGGCCAACAATCATCTAAAACTAATGAGCTTTTCAACACGTGAACTGTTTGTGTCCGCACAAAAACGAGGTGACTTTTCGATGAGTTTTAGTTATTCTAATTTCTCTAAACGTATTGGCCCAGTGATTAGTTAGTACCTTGAAGGCAGTCGTCCAGATAATTCACGGGTATAACAACAAAGATTCATTAGGTTTGGCTGAACACTTGGTAAATGTGAATCTCGAGAACAAGCATAGTGGTTCCGTAGATCTCCAGCGGTTGTTATTCAAGATGACCGACTTCCTGTGTAACTTTAAGGGTTTGATCAGTGTGAGGATCATCATATCAACAGAGCTTTTCAAAAGTCTACTTCTGTATACTGGGAATGTCTGTTTCATGTTTCGTCTCTTGTACACTGGCGTAACCTAATTCTTAGCTACCTGTTCAGCAAGGCTTACATGTAGTAGGACATCACAAGGACTACTTTAGTACTTTTGACATAGCACACTACTGATAAGTTGAAAACTTTTCGATGACCTATCACCGGTGTAGCCATTCCTGGGACTCATCCGGTAGGCATCATTCCCAGTTCGCATCAACTTTGTGTTCTGCTAGAATTTGTGTTTTCAGCAACCCTGCGAATGTAAGGAGGAAAATCCTTCATCGCGAAGTCGTTTATTAGCGTACACCAACTAAACAGTTACAAACTATTGGACAGGAAAGTAAACGTCTCGTATGCACCTTGTTTTTAAAAACTGAACATTCTCACGCGTCTTTTTGAACTTTCGTGGATATTTATTGACCATCACACAGTTGTAAACGAACACTGCAAAGCAGTTTCACGGGTTCTGTAATGAACCCCACCCTCCATTAGACACGAGGCGAGTTACGAGGAAACCACATACTATTCGTATGCCTCATCAGTAGTATCCTCCTTTAAGGGTCACTTGCATGCCACCAATTTCCATTTATCTCTGTTAGGTCAACCTCAGCAGCTCTTCCGGTGTATCATGCCACCTCCGGAGCTGAGTCCCATTTACTCTTTTTGATCCCCAACCGTCTTGAATTGTGTAGACGTTCCCCCGGTGGGGAACGTCATCTTCGCTCGTTGATTTGGCACGGTTGCCTCCTTGACCCATTGAGACATGTTCAGTCATTATCACGATATATTGATTTCCGCTGGCCGTCACCGGAAAGGGGCCCATGATGTCAACGGACCATAAACTCACCGATTTCTGAGACGGGAATTGAGTTCCATGGGATAGGTTGCCCCTGTCTTATTCCATTTCATCAGTTGGCACCGCTTACAGGATACCACATAATCCTTCACCTCACTTCTCATTCCGGGCCAGTAGACCCTCTGCCAAAGTAAGTCGTACCTCTTGGTGAACCGTGTGTTTGCCACCTCGTGGCGTTCGACGATCCTTAATCCCAAGCTATATGTGAGCTGGGGGTTGTTCCCAATATTTTCATCTCATAACTGAAGGTAGAAGTGGTCCTTGAGTTGAGAACTGGTTTGAAACGCGGACTTCTGCTCGTGTACATCCTTTCCAGCACTAATACATAGCGTTCGGTAGTTGCAGCAGTGGTATTACTCATCTTGAAGGGAAGTTGACAAAGCCTGCATGTTCATATACCCTATTACTGATAGGAAGTATTGCCTTCCGTCTGTCGTGTCGTTCAAATGATTGTGAAGTGTGTTTGTGACAATTTCTAGCCCATCTGATGTACTGCCTAGTGCGCAGATACAAAGAAAAAGGGAAACCAAGTTCGAAAACCGAGTATACTTTCATCTTAATATACTGTTAAACTATGGCTGAGTTGTTGAGAAGGCCAACAATCATCTAAAACTAATGAGCTTTTCAACACGTGAACTGTTTGTGTCCGCACAAAAACGAGGTGACTTTTCGATGAGTTTTAGTTATTCTAATTTCTCTAAACGTATTGGCCCAGTGATTAGTTAGTACCTTGAAGGCAGTCGTCCAGATAATTCACGGGTATAACAACAAAGATTCATTAGGTTTGGCTGAACACTTGGTAAATGTGAATCTCGAGAACAAGCATAGTGGTTCCGTAGATCTCCAGCGGTTGTTATTCAAGATGACCGACTTCCTGTGTAACTTTAAGGGTTTGATCAGTGTGAGGATCATCATATCAACAGAGCTTTTCAAAAGTCTACTTCTGTATACTGGGAATGTCTGTTTCATGTTTCGTCTCTTGTACACTGGCGTAACCTAATTCTTAGCTACCTGTTCAGCAAGGCTTACATGTAGTAGGACATCACAAGGACTACTTTAGTACTTTTGACATAGCACACTACTGATAAGTTGAAAACTTTTCGATGACCTATCACCGGTGTAGCCATTCCTGGGACTCATTCGGTAGGCATCATTCCCAGTTCGCATCAACTTTGTGTTCTGCTAGAATTTGT